GTTACCATATGACCCAGCAACCCCTCTTCTGGGTATCTATCTGAAAATTTTGAAAACATTTCTTTGCAAAGATATATGCACTCCTAAGTTCACTGGAGCATTACTGATGGTGGCCAAGACATGGAAACAACTAAAGTGCCCTTAGCTAAGTGACTGGAAAAAGAAGATGTGTTACATATATACAGGAGAATACTACTAAGCCCTAAGACAGGATGAAATAGTGCCATTTGCAACGTGGATGGATCTTGAGAATATCATGCTAAGTAAAATCAGCCATTCAGAAAAAGAACCATATGAGTTCACTCACATGTGGGATATAAATTGAGAGTTAACAAATGAACAAACAAGAAAAACAAACAAAAACTCAGACACAGATAACAGTACGATGGTTACCAGAGGGAAGAAGGGTGGGGGGACATAAAGGGTAAAGTGGGCCAAATATGTGATGACAAAAGATGATTTGACTTTGGGTGGTGGACACACAATGCAATATACAAATCATGTATCACAGAAATGTACTTGAAAATTATATAATCTTATTAAGTAATGTCATCCCAATAAATTTAATTAAAAAAGAGGACCCAAATAAAATTATCAATGAAAGAGAAGTGACACCCAATACCACAGAAATACAAAGGATTATAAGGAAATACTACAAACAACTGTATGCCAACAAATTGGACAACCTGGAAGAAATGGATAAAGTCTTAGAAACACACAATCTTCCAAAACTAAGTCAAGAAGAACCAGAAAATGTGAATAAACCAATAACTATTAACAAAATTGAATCAGTATTAATAGAAACAACAAAAGCACAGAACCAGGTAGCTTCACAGGTGAATTTTAGCAATCATTCAATACCTATCCTTCTCAAACTACTCTAAGAAATTAAAGAGGAAGGCTCCTAAGCTCATTTTAAAAGCCGGCATTATCTTGATACTCAAACCAGAGAAAGACATTACAAAAAAAGAAAATTATAAGCCGATATCCTTGATGAACATAGATACAAAAATCAATATTAGCAAACCAAATTCAACAATACATTAAAAAGATCATAATCGTACACCAGGATCAACTAGGATTTATTCCCAAGATGGAAGGCTAGTTCAATATCCACAAATCAGTTAACATGATGCACCAAATAAACAAAACAAAGGATAAAAATCACATGATCGTATCAATAAATTCAGAAAAAGCATTTGACAAAATCTAGCATCCATTTATGATAAAAGCTCTCAGCAAAGTGGAACATACCTCAACACAATAAAGGCCATATATGACAAATCACAGCCAACATCTTTCTCAATGGGCAAAAATTAAAAATGTTTCCCTTAATATCAGGAACAAGACAGGGATGTCCGCTTTCACCATTTACATTCAACAGGGTACTGCAAGTCCTAGTCACAGCAATAAAACAAGAAATAAAAGGCACCCAAATAGGAAAGGAAGAAGTAATTAATAATGGAAGTAAATAATCTGTCATTATTTGCAGATCACAAATCTTCATTAGTCATTCAGTGTCACCCTATACTCTCAGACCTAGTATGCTGTCCACATTTCTGTTTTTCCAGTTGGTACTAGAAATCATTGATCCCATCACTCTCCAAACACTTCCTCATGTTGGTTCCTGTGGGATGACCACAATTATCATATCTTATTTTTAGCTCATCACACCATTCACAAGATAATGTAGGTTCTCAAAAACATACTAAGTCATTTTAACTTACAATATCATTCAGGTACTAAACCAAAGGTACATAGCAAAGGTACTAAACTCCAGGATGACTTGGTTTCTGTGCCCCTCCAGTCAGTGCATTCATGCAGAATGCCTGCTACAAACTATTCCTTTGAAAGAGTATTTATTTATAAAATAAATAAATTTTATTTTTCCATTTACCATATTCTCCATGGATATTTTGACAATAAATATGTGACTTACATTAGCAGCATTACTTTTAGGCCAGATTTTAGAATAACAATTTATTGACTATCTAGCACATACAAAATCTCTACTGTACTAGTCAGAAATTATAAAGGAAAATAAAAGGTTGGTATCTTCACAGGTTTTACAGATTCAGAATTTAGTTTAAGAGTATTGATAACTACCATTTATTGAGCACTTACTATAAGCCAGGTGCTTTTCCTATCACAATCTTCTCAAATATCTTACAAAATAGATAATTCCATTTTACAAAAGAGGAGTTTGGGACTAAGAGTTACAGCGTAAATGACTGAGCTGGCATTTGAACCCAGATCTCTCTGTGACTAAAATGCTCCATGCTGGTTTCTCTGATATACACTGATCACCAGCCCTACTCAACCACAGGCCCACTTCAAAGCTCAACCACCACATCCATTCCCTTCACACAGGAGCCCTGTATCTGTGAGAACAATGAAAACCTAACACCAGATTTGCATTCAGTACACTTGTTGTTAAACTAAACCTAGACAAAGTCAGACTGAGAACCCTTCCAATAATATTTCTGTGTGTGTATTTCCCTCAGTAGGAAGGAACCAAAAATTTAATGAGAAAAAAAGATCATTTTTTTCAAGTGTGCTACATTTAATACCAAAAACTAAAAGTAACATCACCTTCTAGATCTTATACATTTAGTGGTGACCCACTGACAAATGAAGCAGAAAAATAAGCCATCATCCAGACAACTTTTGGCTAACTGCATAATATTTTTGCAAAATCAGGAATTTTGTCAGTATGATATAATCATCAATTCACTTATTTGCTGCATGCACTTTGACAATATAGACCACACTTTAGAGTATTTTCTGATACAGGTAGACACAAGAGGCAAGACGCACCAATCTTGGTAGTCAAAATGGAGGCTCTCGGGTCACCTATTTTGTTTCCATTTTCATCCGCTACTGTACCTGTGAAGCAAGGCCTAGGAAGCCCTACAGCAGTATCTGATGAATCAAAGGTATGGGACTTACCACATTAGAGTTGAGATGAGAAGACCAACGCCCACACAATCTATGAACACAACCCAAAGGAGCAGCTTTATCATCTTAAAAAATCCCATGTCCAGCACAAAGCCAAATCCTACAGTGGACACTGAAAGAAAGATTTACAAGATTCATCAGGCACTTTGCAAGGTTCTGGGGATACTGGACACAGCCCCTGCACCTCCAGATGCCCTGGTCCAGTGGGGGAGAGACATAAAAACAAAACCGCCAAGATGTGTGCGATGGGATTAAGAAATGCAGACCAACGTGGGGCATGGAAGGCCACTGAGCTACCTCGCTTACCAAGAAGGACCTCGTCTGTCTGTGCTTCACCAGGGTGGCCCAGCTTCTCAGTTAAAGGTGAGAAAAACCGCCGAAACCGGTTTGGCTCAGTGGATAGAGCGTCGGCCTGCGGACTGAAGGGTCCCAGGTTCGATTCCGGTCAAGGGCATGTACCTGGGTTGCGGGCACATCCCCAGTGGGAGATGTGCAGGAGGCAGCTGGTCGATGTTTCTCTCTCATCGAAGTTTCTAGCTCTCTATCTCTCTCCCTTCCTCTCTGTAAAAAACCAATAAAATATACTACCGAAGAACTTAAAAGTAGTTTCTCAAGTTCCTAGCAGTGTTTTTACACCCCCCCCTCTGCATTTCCCTGACGGTGAACAGCAATTTACAACCTTGATGCTCCTTCCTGTTCACAGTAAGTTTGCCTTTAGGGACGGAGGTATTTTATCACAGTGGTTAGGAGGCACCGAGTGCCTGTTCCTCTGCTTTTCATGTTCCCGGGTAAGGGTGTACTCTGGCAACGGCTTGGGCCCTTTAGAACCAGGAAGAATACAGAAAAGAGGCAGCAGCTTTAAATGAACCCAAATTCCGACCCACAACAGTTTACAACGAAAGAGTCCCCAAATGGCAAGTCCGATCACACGCTCAATCTGTTTTTTCAACTGCAGCCCAGCGCACTTACCGCACAGCCAGACACTGAGCAGCACCAAGAAAGCCGGGTCGTCTCTAGCCCACTGGTCCTTCGTCTGCTTTCGGTAATGAAAGTTCCGATAGACCCTCTGCGGGGAAGTGAACAGGTAGAGCATCTGCCAGCCAGCAAACTCGAAGTCCATTTGCCGGAAACGGAAAAGCCTTCTCAGGTATTTGTAGCGCTTCGCCCCCGCCGTGTGTCTCGCTGCATCTCTGGAATTCAGGGCTCCGTTCCCCTGCAGCGGGGAGCTCACTGAAGTGCTTGGTAACATCTTCCTGGGGGGTGAAAACTTTCACTAGGAACAGGAAGGACTCCTCTTCCGAGACATGCAGGAGGGGGGTCGCCTGACACTCTGCCCCACTCCTTCCTCGGGAAGGGACAGCTGGCATAGTGGCCAGGGGCAGCACCACACCATTCTGAACCATCACTGTAACGCCTAACAACTACAGGGGCCATATCTCAATCTCAGAGAGGACGGGGGCGGGGGGGAGGGAGAGCGCTCAAATTCTGGCTCTCAATCCCGTGCTCCTAGGTACCCGCCTCTACGTAAATGACCTAATCGCACAGGTGGTCCATCAAAGCATTACCAGTTCCCCAGAAGGTGATTTAAAAATAAAGCAAAACTAAAACCTAGTGTTTTGCTCCACGAAGAGTTCATCGGAAACGACACCGTGGGAGACGGGTCGGACCACTCCGAAGCCAGGCGAGCACAGGCCCGGTCCG